GGTGACATCTCCCTCCACCCCGCCACCCTGTCCTGCCCCTGACCTGCCACCTTATTTCCCGCAGCAAAGCGCCCCCCAGATCGCTGTCAACGGGTGAGTGTCAGCCCCAGGGCGGGGCGGCTGGGGTCCAGGAGGGGTGCATCCTGGGGCTCCCCGCGCTGACCCCGCCCCCTTTTTTTCTGTCTTTTTCCTTCTGTCTTCCCGGCTCTTCTTCGCAGGTGGGTGAGGTGGTGACCAGGCCTGGGGCTGGGGCCGGGGTTGGGAGAGGGGGGGAGGAGCAGGGAGGGCGGAGCAGGGAGGGAGTGGCCTGGGCCCAGATTTCTGGGTCTGAGGGTGGAGGGGGCTGGAGGCCCGGGTTCCAGGGTCCGAGGGTGGAGGGGGCTGGAGGCCCGGGTTCCAGGGTCTGATGGTGGAGGGTGCTGGAGGCCCGGGTTCCAGGGTCTGAGGGAGGAGGGGGCTGGGTGTGGGTGAAGTTTTGAGAGGTTGGATCGAGAGTCCCCAAAGGGCTGGGAGAAGGCACTTTCGTTCCCCAGGACCTGGGACGCGCCCTGCTCGGGTCCGCACCAGGACAGAGCCCTGGGGGTCGGAGGGAAGCGGCTGGGAGTTAAACATCTGGGTTATGAGGAAGAGCTCAGGTCTGGTCCTTGGAACCTGGGAGACCCAGAGAAGCGGGCTCAGGACTTTAAGGGCTGAGGGGCCAGTCTCGGGGGAGGTCAGGAAGTGGAGAGGTGCGGGCTGCACCCCTGGCCTTCCCAAGGCTCTGTAGCAATTGCCTCGGTCGCTGCTGAGCGTCAGCCTGGGGCCCTTTAAGGCTGAAAAGGGCCAAGAAATGAAAGCTTAAGGCTTGGATTCCTCTGTCTCTGGTGGAGGAAAGGACTGGGGGTGCAACTTCATGACTCCAACAAGCAGTAGGGGTGCAGACTCTTGGGGCCTGGGGGAAGAAGAGGGGGTAGAGGGGGCCTGGGCAAGTCGGGATAAGAAGAACCAAGCAGCAAAGCTGGAGGAGCAAAAGGGGGGTCTGGGCACGGGCCGGGCAGCGGGTCTCAGCAGGGACAGCGTGCTGGGAGCTGCCTGCCCCCCACAGGGGGCGCCGCGGCCCTGAAGACCCCCCCTCTCCCTTGCACAGGTAGGCCTGATCCGGGCTGAGGTCCCTCTTACTGGGGGGGTCGGAGCTCAAATCCCACGCCTCTTCCCCCGGCTGCCTGGTCTCGCAGAACCCCGCCCCCACCCCCATGCTTCTGAGACCCCCAACTTTTTTGTTTTTGCATTCTTTTTATTTCTTTATTGATGAAGGTATTACATATGTGTCCTTATCCCCTCGATACCCCCAACTTTTAACCTGCCTTCTCTGCGCCTCAAGTTCTTTGGAGGAAAAAAATATGGGAAGAATAATCCCTTCCTGGAAAAAGGAGAAACCCATGAGGTTGTAAGGTTTTCTGTTAAGAGCTCAGGTTCACGGCCACCTGTGCACACAGAAAGCCGAATTACTCAGGACGGGGACGCTGGGGCCGGCCTGTCCAGGTCCCAGGCTGCTGTGCACCTTCTCGCTGTGGGACCGTCCCATCAGGGGTCCCTGCCCATCACTGCCCCTCCGCTTCCTCACCTGTGGGATGGAAATAATAATAGGATCCCTGGGAGGAGGCAGGGAAAAGGGAGTCCAAATTCATGCTTCTACCAGGGCTCGTCCTGAGAATCAAATCAGCTAATATATGTACCAAACTTTGAACAGTGCCCGGCATATTGTGACTGCGAGTTATCGTTACGTATGAGCCCAGTACATAGTAGATGCTCAATAAATAAATAGCAGCTGCCCTCACCGGTTTGGCTCAATGGATAGAGCATCGGTCTGCAGACCAAAGGGTCCCAGGTTCAATTCTGGTCAAGGGCACATACATTGGTTGCCAGGGTCCTCCCTGGCCCAGGCCCTGGCCACGGCTTGTGCAGGAGGCAAGCAATCGATGTGCTTCTCTCGCATCGATGTTTCTCTCTGTCTTCCCCTCTCTCTTCACTCCCTCTAAAAACAATGGAAAGATACCCTCAGATGAGGATTAACATAAATAAATAAATATTAAATCTTTAAAAAAAAATAAATAGCAGCTGTCTGGTCTGAGACATTTTATCTTTTTTTAAAAAAAATATTTGTATTGATTTTTAGAGAGAGAGGAAGGGAGAGGGAGAAAGAGAAACATGGATGTGAGTGGAACATCCATCCATTGCCTCCTGCGCGCCCCCTACTGGGGATTGAGCCCCAAACGCGGGCATGTTCTCTGACCCGGAACAGAACCTGCAGCCCTTTGGTGCAGGGGGTCTGTGAAATGGAGGTGATGCTAGTACCCGTGCAGCGTGTTGCCAGGCACATAAGAAGCAATATACTGTATATTCCAGCTGTTTTCCCCATGTTCAGCCTCGATTAACAGTACTAACCTGGTCCCCTGCCTTGGCCCCTGCTTGGCTCTCACCCCAGCTCACACCGACACCCTACAGCCCAGAGCAGTGGGGCCGGCTGCCTCCTTTCCCCAACCTTCCCCCTTCTCCTCAGTCACCAAGACCCGGAGTCAGAACCGGAGCCGGAACCGGAGCCGGAGCCAGCAGGGAAGTGGGTCCTGTGTAATTATGACTTCCAGGCCCGCAACAGCAGCGAGCTCTCGGTCAAACATCGGGATGTGCTGGAGGTGAGAGGGGTGCGGGCTGAGGGGCTGGGAGGGTATCCAACCCCAACTGCAGACACAGGCTCTGAACCCTGCCCCTCTGACCTCCCCCAGGTCCTGGATGACCAGCGCAAGTGGTGGAAGGTTCGGGACCAGCGGGGGCAGGAGGGATACGTGCCCTATAATATCCTGACACCCCACCCAGGGCCCCAGGGGAGCCGCAGCCCAAGCCCTGCCCGCGTTCTGGTGAGTCAGGGCGGACCCCTGGGTCTTGAAGGGAGAGGCTCTGGGAACCAGATCCTGGGTCCTGGGGACGAGGGTTGGGTCGAGTCAAGGGCACCTGGCGGAGGAGGTGCTGGGGGGGGAGGGGTCGGAACTTTATCTCCATCAGGAGGGCCTGGGAGCCCTAACCGGTTTGGCTCAGTGGAGAGTGTCGGTCTGCCGACTCAAGGGTCCCAGGTTCGATTCCGGTCAAGGGCATGTGCCTTGGTTGCGGGCACATCCCCAGGAGGGGGCGTGCGGGAGGCAGCTGATCGATGTTTCTCTCTCATCGGTGTGTCAAACTCTCT